ACATTGATATAGAAATAGTATTTAAAGAAAGAATTAATATTCAAGGAAGAAGATTAAAGATAATAACTCACAACTTACAAATTCATTAAGCTTCAAAGTAGCAAAACCAAGATGGAAGGGTTTAGCTCCTCATTTGGAGACTAAACATGATAAAAATATAAAGAAAGAACTTGTCTAAACTGAGCTTAGAAGTATATGTGAATTGGTGATTTTATGGGAAGGAAATGGGGTGTATTTATAGGCTTTTGGGAGCTGCAGGGCTGTGTACCCGATCGGGTATATAGGATACCCGATCGGGTATCTTAGGAAATTGCCCAGAAACTGAAAAATAGGGTCATACCCGATCGGGTCTGTCGGTCACCCGATCGGGTATGACAATCGAACATGGCCAAAATCTTTCCCGCATGTTGCTCGGTTCCCGGGTTGATCCGATTTGATTTTTTAGAAGGGTACCCGATCGGGTATAGGTCATACCCGACCGGGTACAGACCAAAAACGAAATCTCCACTTTTTGTCTTGCATTTTTGCACTTTCCTTCCACTTGTGGTGTTCACCAATGGTCCCCAAAGTGTTCTTGGACCTGTTTGAGCTCAGAATAAACCTAATCTAAACATATTACAAATATTTTACAAACTAAACTATTACACCAAAAGTGTGTAATTTCCGAAGTAACACTCACTCTAAACTAATTAAAAACACAAATTTACACATGGAAATTACATGAATGTCAATAATCGTGAAGTCAAACCGTGACTTTCTTTTAGAAACGGAGGTAGTACTACGGAGTAATTAATGTTGTACAGTTGGGTGTTGATTTTAAAATTGTTCTATACGAAATACTACGTACGGAGCATGATATACGAAAATACTTCCTCCGTCCCCTATAACTTTGCCAACTTTCCTTTTTTGGATGTCCCATTAACTTTGCCACTTTCCCATTTAAGTAAAGAATTTGTGGTTCCAGTTAATTCTCTCTCCTCTGCACAAACCTCAACCACACAGTTTTTACTTTATTAATCCCCGTGCCGGTCAAACTTGATAAAGTTATTAGGGACGGAGGGAGTATCTAATCTATTCAGACTTATGTACGCAATCTTTAGATCAGATTAGACAACCACTTTATGTCATGGCACAATGATTAATATAGATGGTATATTGGTATTGTGTGACAGAGTTACGGGGAAGTGAAATGTTTAAGCGTCATATCTGTACAACCGGCCGGCCCGCAATAACATATGGGCGGACTTGAGTTAGGATGTAGGCTCGTTCGGGACGATATGCCCGGCCCGCTACATTTACCGTGTATATATATATACTAATTTATTTATTTATTCACATGTACACATGTATATTTATATTACTAATATAATTAACCTTCATACATATTTATAGATAATATTTTTTGCTTGAAATTTAAATTTAGATATGGATTCTCATTATTATTTTTATGTAAGTATTATTTTTGTATGTCGTGAAATGCCTATAAATATTATTAGCGTATTAATTTTTTTTTAAATGTTGTCATATTATTTTTAAAGTATTAAAAAAATTATATATTTTAGAAAATTTTAAAGTTTTTCCGGGTCGGGAGGCCCGGTGGACTACCTGGCCCGCTCTTACGGGCGGGTATGGACATGGAGTTAGGCCCGTTTTTGCGGGCCGGGCCCGCCCACACATGATAGGCAAAAAAATTATAAAAAGCCTGGCCCGAGCCTGGCCCGAACCCGTTTTTGTGCAGATCTATTAAGTATGTGTGAGATTTGCTCGTGAAGTACAAATTGTATGCCAAAAATGAAAATTGAAGATTATTTTGGAAAGGATGAAAAATAGAATTATGAAATGGGTAAGCATGTGTAAGATTTGCGGTGAAACACAAATTGTATGTCGAAAATGAAAATTAAAGATTGTTTTGGAAATGACAAAAAAAGAAATCTAGAAGAAAATTTATGGATGGAGGTAGCAGATAAGATTACAAAATTTGAATGTAAATGGAAAATCATACTACCTCTTTCCCTTACATTTTTTATTCTCCTACCCAATGTTGTAAAAGGCGTTAGGTGCTAGTCGGGCGTCGGTCCAACGCCTAGTCTAGGTGGGTAGGCGGGCGTCTAGGAGGAGAATAGTCGGAGACACATAATTTTTTATTTTTATCAATATCTTTGCCTAAATATGATAATCAATACATAGTAAAATGATAGTATCTCGTGTTTGTGTGTGCATGAAAAATATATGGGTGTTTCTATGGTACCTTTGTTGTTTAAGAGTGTACCGTACCTTTACCTTGATGCCCACTAAAAATAATACACATGGATATGTAAAACCTACTCCGTATAATAAATAAAACAATACTACGTAATGACCAAGCATCTAATTTAATTCTAATGATTAAATCTTTTTGCATTTGAGACCTGCAAAACTTCTTTGGATTTTACAGTGCCCCAGCGGCGCATCGGTGCTTAATCCAGTCATGAATTTATTAATCGTTTAATCATTACATCTGATTTAGTAAAAAACCAAAACATCTCCATCGATTGATATTTTTCTTTTCTTCAACCAGCATTACTTCCGCTAATGGCTGGTCCTTTTTTCCTTCAAGATGTAGTCATGAATTTGTTACCATTCAAGCAAATATGTTTATTTTTCCAATTCATTAATATTCTAAGAGTATTTTTTAACAGACTCAACATAGCATAAGCTTTCTGGTTCTTTTCAACAAAAAACTGCAATCCTTGGTTGTCGATGTGCTCTATCCAATTAAGGAAATATGATTCGTAATTCGTGGGTTGGATTTTATTCTTACTTTTAATTGCAATGACTTGTTGAGATGCAATCCGTGGATAGTAACGAAAGGGACGGCAATGCAAATATATTAACACCTAACTTAAATTTAGTGTCGTGTCATTATATGAATAACCATTTAAAACAATGGAATAACTGTGTAAGGTACCGGTACCTTGTTAATTTCACAAGGTACCGTAGAATTTTCCAAAATATATACACCTACATTAACGTGCATAAATGATAGAATTGTCACATGCAATGATATATGATAACTAAGCAATTAATTGAATTATGTTGTAAATATTACTACAAACATTGTAATTGTAAATAATAATAAAATTGAAGTATATATACAAACATATATAGTTTTTATCACAAGTATCTTTCTTCATATTCATGATTAAACTTAAAAGTACATATATCTCTTACAAAAAGAAAATAAAAACTTCAAAATTGTTCGACGAATCTTGACGCCCTAGGCAGCGTTTAGACGCTCTAGACGGTCAACTAGGCGCCCTAGATGACCGACTAATTCACCTAGGCGCCAAACCAATTAGTTGGAGCGCATAGACAATATTCGGGACGCCAGACCACCGCCTAACACCTAGGTGAGGACTAGTCGGGCGCCTAGAGCAATTTTTAGAACAGTGATCCTATCAAATATCAACTAAATAATTTTTATTTTATTATTTCCAATTTTCTGGTGTTGGTCATAGTTGGCCAAGTGGTAAGAGATAGGATGTTTTTACTTGGACTGTAATTTGCTGGTCTGGTCTGGTCTGGTAAGGTCTGATTTCTTTGTATTTTTATAACTATCTAAGTCTGGCCCGGTCTGGTCTGGTCTGAACTGGTCTGGTCTGGTCTGGACTGGTCTGGTCTGGGGCAAATTACAGTCTAAGTAAAAACATCCATAGAGGGAGTAAATGATTAAAACAAGCTATTACGAGAACTTTTGATGCAGTCATGTGGTTGAATCTGTAAGTTCCTTAAACTCCTTAAAGTACTTTTTTGGTAAAATACGTTTTTGTTGATATCAACAGCTGAAAAATGCAAGCTACTCTGCTAAAAATTGGAATAAGGAAAAATCCAAAAATATAAATAAAAATGTTTTGAAATTCTAAAATAAATTTGTCATTTTTTATTCCTTAAATAAGATTAGTTACTCTCAAGTTTGAAAAATATTATCATGTCTAAAGTCTGCTAAAACATGATAGCAAGCCAATAACTACTTTCTATTTCGGGAAAACAAACACACCAATCTTATTTTGGAATTCGAGAACGTTCTCAAAACAGTGTTCTCTAGAATATCAATGTTAAATGAAGTTGGTAATACGGAGTATGTTTCTTTAAAGTGAATTTTATACTTTATGGAATTATGGTCACTTCAAAATTGATATTTCACATCAATTCTTTTAGATTTAACCCTAATAAAATCCCAAAAATGATATCCAAAGTTCAATATCAATGGAATGAGTTGTGTTAGAGGCACATGCACTCTCATTAAAGAGGCATGCAAACATCATATTGTTTAACACATCACATCAAATTTACATAAAAAATGATTAGAATAGGCACATCAATTGTTTGTAAGTTTGTTTACATATTCATTTTCCTTCAAAATACGACAAAAATCAAAATTGAGAATGTAAACGTCATTATGATAGAAATTATTTTTATTTTATTATTATTGTTATTATTATTATTACTACTTTAATACAATGATAGAAACTTGATTTCTAGAATCCTTTTTGTTGTTGAGGGAATTGATTTCTAGAATCCGAAAATGTAGAGTCATTATGATTGTCTTTAAACAACCAATATCTTCCAAATATTTTGAATTATTTTTCAGGATAAGCTTTTGTCGCGCACATACAAAATTAATATTATCCAAATTACTTTCTGTCAATTTACATAAAAAAAAGTATTGGCAACCCGTAGAGTAACTCGTTTCAACCCACTTAGTGATGGATTAGAGTTGTCATTTCTGACTCGATTAATTCGCTAGTCGGTCAACACGGGTTGCGGGTTTATTGGGTTGACCCACACGGGTAACGAGTTGGACCGTGGCCAAAATACAAGTTTATAAAATACATAGTACACACCATCGGACTTAACAAGACTTGAACAAATCATTCTAGTTTTGCCAATTATCCTAAACTAGATGAGATCATGTTCTAATGTGGGGAAGAGTAGTCTGATTATTAAAATGTGATCATCAGCTCAATATATGGGAATCAAATCTCCAGTGCCCTATAGAAGATGGCAATTTGGTGATACAGATTTACACAAAAATGGGCTAAATTTTGCCTATGGAGGGACGGGCGTTTTCACCACACACCTTGGAGGGCCGAATATGACCACTCAAATAGATTCTTTCCAACAACTCATTGAACAAAATGTCTACACTAAACATGAACTTCAGACCACTTCTGTTGCTCATGTCTCCGCGGCCGGGAACGACTATTCCAATTTTGGCTCTCAAAAGGTAACCAACTATCCATTCACCATATACTACGTACTCTCTCCGTAACATTCATATCTTCCCACTTTCCTTTTTGGGACGTAACATTTATATCTTCTCATTTCTAAATCTTCTCAACATACCCTCAATAATTTAAAAAATAATACACTACTACGGGTTTGTTTGCAACTGATTTTAAAAAAGCACTTCTCAGTTTTTGACTTTAAAAAATCACTTATTTTCCCAAACACTACAACTTTTATTTTTCTCGGCTTCCGCGTCAAAAGTGCTTTTACTTTTTCTATTACACAAAAAGCACTTATTTTACCAAACACTACCCACTTTTACTTTTCAAAATCACTTTTTTCTCAAACACTATCAACTTTTATTTAATCACTTCTCCCCATTTCATTAAAAAAAGCACTTTTTCAAAAGCAGAAGCTGTTGCAAACAGACCCTACACCTACTTATTTTTGGATTTATCCTTCATTCCATCACATTATTTCACCATCTTCCCGTCATATCCTCAATAATTCATACCCCATTTCACTATTCTTAATCTCACCCACTTTGGAAGTGGGAAGATATATGTGATACGGAGGGAGTATTAAACACAAGAATTGTCTCAATCTTGCAAATCATGTGCTCTACTTATCAATCATTTTTTTCACCAAACACATAATTTTTTATTTGGTGTGTTGAATTGTGAAATAATAACAAAAAGTAAGGTTGAAGTTATTTTTTCTTGACTGAAGTTACTGTAGGGACCATTTTACTATTTTTACATATAATTTTTACTTTATTTTATTTACATTTTTTATTAATAAAATATATTTTAAATATAAATTTTTCATAAATCAATAGAATCAGCCAATTCAAACACCTCTGCCAGAATTTCATAAATTTCAGCACAATCAGCCAATTTTGGCATCACTAAATGGGCTCTATACGTATCATGTCATAGTGAGGTATAATAATTAGGGGCTAGGGAGTGTATGCAACAAATTAAAAAAAAAAACGTTTTTCAGCTTTTGGCTTTAAAAAAGCTGAAATTGGTGTTTTCAAGTGACAACTTCGGTTTAAATTAAGCACTTAAAAGTTAAAAGCTAGAAGCAAGTTGAGGGGTGCTTTAAACTGCTTTTCACTTATTCTATTACACAAAAAATACTTATTTTATCAAACAATACCAACTTTTACTTTATCAAAAGGACTTTTTTCTAAAACAATACACTATCAACTTTTATTATTAACCACTTTTCCCAAAATTACTTTTAAAATCAATTTTTTAAAGTAGAAGCAATCGTAAATACTCTCTTATTCTATATCATGTTTTCATAAACACTTACCAGAAAAACTATACATTTGCTTTACAAAGACATTGATGATTGGAAAAAGCGTCAAATAGACCCTTGTACTATTGCAAATAGGTCACTTAAACACATGTACTACAAAAAAAGAATCACATAAACCCATTTATGAAAAAAGAGTCATTTAACCCAAATTAAAGACAACCTATAATAGCAGGTCACCTTTTCTCTCATATATTTTTTATTTTTCTTTTTCATTGCCTCATTTAATGCTCCGTTCTAGCATATTAGCAGGCCATCCAACCAAAACTGGCTTTTCCCAATTTTTCATAAAAAATATTCTCCAGACGGATTCGAATCGGCACCAAGTCGAAATAACTTAGAGCATCTCCAACCCAAGGGTGGATTGTTGCTTATGTGGCTAATAAATGGAGAAGGTCCAAATCAAATATGAGCAAGAAGGGTGCGGTCCATTTGAAGCATGCTGCAGTGCGGAAGTGTAAAGCAAATAAATTATGAAAGGTTGATGAAAGAGAAAAAGAAAAGCTTGGTGATAATGTGTCAGAGGGTGGCACCAAGGGTGTCAATGTAGACCCTTTGCTGGACTATGTGCTCTGCCATGTCATCCCTTGGAAGTCCATTGATGTTACCATTGGAGAGCACATATGATTATCAAAAGTGCAATTGCTTAGTTGGAATCCCAATCCACCTGGGGTTGGAGATGCTCTTAGGATGCCTTACCAACTCGGCAACAAAGCTGTTGTGTAAATTTCCACCTCGAAATATATTTATACTTTAACGCCTTACGGCTTACACCACTATTCTCTAATATAATTTTTTTATTGTAATAGCAACTACGATTATTTTTATTGATGTTATTATATTATACTAATGAATTAAGGAGTATTTGTCAAAGATTCAAACATCTATCAATATTATGTATAATTTTAATATACTTCCTATAAATTATTTTGACATATTTTCCATCCAATTCTAAACACATTTTGAATTTTGTTAAAAAAATACTTCTTCCGCCCCCCTACAATTGTCCCATTTTTGCATTTTTGGATTTCCCCATATATGTCTCATACCATATTTGGTAACTTTTGTGCGGCTCTAATTCTTTCTTACTTTATTTTTCACTTTATCAATTTATTATGAATCACATAATTCTATTTTTATTAAAAACCACATCACTTCATTCCGTCCCAATATTAAGGGGACAGAGGGAGATTATGTTTTGACTCTTTTTTTTTCTTGTAAGAATTATTAAACTTTGAATGAAGGTAACTGTTGACGATATAAATCTAACCTAATACTACGTATATAATTAACTATATTTTAGGTTTATTTTTTCACAAAATATTGATCGACGCTCTTGGCGGGTTGACCCAGCAAATATTGACCCGGCAACCGATTGGATCATTGGCCAGCTTGAATCACTAATGGTAACATCATTGAGTCATGAGTCAACTCGATCAATGCTAAAAAACCCCGCTCAATATTTCATGAAAAATAAACATAAAAGGTACAACGTAGTTCATTATATATGTTATAAAAAGGAAAATAGCCTTAAAATAGGAGTAAACCAATCCCTAAATGTACAAATAGAAAAATTACATTTCTATTTCTAATAAAAAATGAAAAATAAAAAATAATAATAACTAAAAAAAATAATTTTTCCTAAAAAAATTAAAACATTAAAAATAAAAAAATGGATAGAACACATTAAAAATTATAAAATAAAATATGGAGCCCTTTTCCGCAGCCTCTGCCATATTGCCACTTCTAAACAATGTCACCCCTGATCAGTGAAAATATGTAATTCTGTGTAAAAATTGTCATTTTCTCTCAGAAAATGCCATTAAAATGATACTTTTACTTTTTGAAAATGTTTTATTATTAGTGGAATGAAGGTAGTAATTTTTATTGTTCTACTTTTTTTTATTAATTCTATTTAATAATTATTTTCGTGTTTTTTGTTTTGTTTTAAATTTTATTATGAATAAAGTTATTTTATTATATTTAAGTTTTATTTATTAATGAAATATGAACTGTAATAAAAAAAATGCATGGTAGGATTGGAAAAGTAGTCCCGTTTTGATAATTTTAAAGTTATACCCATATGTTTTTTTACTGTAGTTATACCTATATTCTTGTACATAAAGTTTCATTTAGTCCTATTTGAAGAATTCCCCTAGATTAAACTTATATGATAATAAATTACTCTCATTTTTTGTAAGAATTAATAAAAATGTGAAAATACTCCGTAGTTTATTAGTATAAGAGAAAATGGGCAAATAAGGTCACGTACTAACCAAAAAAAGTCAAATAAGGCCTTATTTAGAAGACTCTGTCTGGCCATACATAAGAATTATAAAATGGGATAAATGGATATATAGCCTTTTAAGTTAGCATACATAAAGTTGGTAGCAACCATTTCTATTTTACAAAACAAATAGCAATTTTGTATGGAATTTGCACTAGACTAATGAATAACAGATACGGAGGCAATGATGTTGAACTAAAATCTATATTTTAACTTGATATAGTAGTCTTACTAGATATTTATGAAACGGAAATGATAAACAATATTGAAAGTAATTCAAGAAAAGACTATTCATTTTATTTTTGATAATACATAACATTAACTTAATGACAGGTAATTAAACTTGTACATATACCCAATTTTCTCTTATAAAATTTCAATGAGAGTAATTTTTTACCATATAAATTTCATCTAATATATAATTAACTACATTTTACATTTTATTTTTCATGAAATATTCACCGGTTTTGTTAGCGTTGATTGGGTTGACCCATAGAAATTTATTTATATATTAGAAAAAATTTAGACGATAAAAATTACTTTCGTTCAAAATTTACGATTCTATTAAGAATAAACAACAAATTAGTGTGCCAAAACGTATAGTTTTTCAACAAAATTCAAAACGTATAGCTTTTCAAAAAACTTTGTTCAGATAGTATTCTAAATCAATTTTAAATGAGAATACATTTTGAACACATAAATTTCATCTAATATACAATTAACTATATTTTATGTTTTTTATTTTTTCACTAAATATTATTCTACAGTTTTATGGGTTGAATTGATTCACGGATTTCCACTATATATTTACGGAGTATTATTTTCACCAAATATATACTGAAATTATAAATAATAGTGATAGATGTTGTGAATATTTCACAAATACTCCCTAGTTTATTAGTATAGTATAAAAACAACACTAGAATAGTTATTACTTTAATTAAAAATTTATGTGTATTTATTTATACTAGTAATAGTGTCAATCGTAAGAGAACAAATATATTTCGAAGTAAGAGTTGGCACAAATATTACGCAGCTGAGCTGGTATTTGCATCCAGTACCTCGCAATTGAGCTGGGTTCACTTCACATGGCCTTATTTTTGAAGTAATTTTGGGATAAATGGCCTAAGGCATAATGCATAAAAAAGAAAGGAAAAAATAATATGAGAGAGAAAATGAAGGATGACTTGCTATTATAGGTTTTGGAGAGTACGTGAATTTATTTGATGCTTTTCATAATACAAGGGTTTAAGTGGACCGTTTTGCAATAGTAGAAGGGTTCATTTGACCCTTTTTCCTATAAACTACTTCGTACGAAGTATGTTTTTAGACAATGATTGTGTAGCTAAGTTGATTGACGTGCACTTTGTCGTGAGGTGCACTCAAAATAAATATCAATACGACACTAATACGTATAGTAGTATAGCGAAGTAAGGTTCGTATCCACAGGGAAAGAAATATTTCTCTTTTTAATTAACTAGTAACAAAGGGGGTTTTTCAGATTTGATTTGATTTAATTAACACTAAGATGAATGACTTAAATGAGTTTAATTAATGAGAAGAAGACTTGACTTTGCTTTTATCCACTTAATGAAATGTTCGTCGATCCCGGTTATATCTTTAACTATCTTCCTCTCGAATACTCAATCGAGGAGTATATCCAGTTCATCGAGGGTAGTTATTAATAACGAGAAGCGTTCATTAATAAAACTTACTATCGAGTCAATATAGAACAAGCGCCGTATATTAACTTGATAGTAGCAATAAACTTAAGATGAAAACGATTGAGATTGATAACCTCAACACAAGCGGTTTATTGGTTTAATCAATATAATTAACTCCCCTTAGATTATTAACCATGAGATGCATGCATTAATAATCCAAGTTTACTACCATGAAAGGACCGAATTAATAACAAGCGTATTAATCGACCGATTCTAGTATTAATTAATATATGAAACAAAACTAGTTGATCCTTTAAGTAATGTTCAAAATATTAATATGAAATATGAATAGGAATTAATTAATACTCAAGAAAGAATATTAAAGAAGATGAATCCTACTATAGTTAATATCAAGATGTTAACTAATTGTCATCTTAGTAACACTCCCCAATATTAACATAGAGGAAGAAATAATTATTACTATAACTAATGTCAAGATGTTAACTAATTGTCATCTTAGTAACACTCCCCAACATTGATATAGAAATAGTATTTAAAGGAAGAATTAATATTCAAGGAAGAAGATTAAAGAGAATAACTCACAACTTACAAATTCATTAAGCTTCAAAGTAGCAAAACCAAGATGGAAGAGTTTAGCTCCTCATTTGGAGACTAAACATGATAGAAAATATAAAGAAAACACTAATCTAAACTGAGCTAAAGAGTATATGTGAATTGGTTCCTTAATGTGAAGGAAAAGGGGTGTATTTATAGCAAAATAGAGGTGGCAGGGTTCGGTACTTGATCCAGTATTGGCAATACTGGACCGAGTATGAGAGGAAATTTCCAGGAAATTGTGAAAAATAGGCATACTCGACCGAGTATTGCCAATACTCGACCGAGTATGCGACAGGATTTTCATCAAATATTCAGCCACGTTCTTTTGCTCCCAGATTTGATTTTGACCAGTGTATCAGGCCAATACTCGACCGAGTATTGGCAATACTCGACCGAGTATTGAACAAATTTCAAAATCTTCATTTGATCTTCTCCTTTTTGCACATTCTTTGGTCTTTAGGATCCATCCTTTGATTCTTGGGATGATTTTGACCTGTCCTAAGCTCAATAAAATCCTAATCTAAATAAATTACAAATAATTAATGAAAATAAAGTATTACACCCAAAGTGTGTAATTTCTACAACTAGAACTAATAAAACTAGTTAAAAATACAAACATACATAATAGGAAATTCACCCTATCATTGGTGTTCAAGTTGTTGGTGCACCTGAGTTCGAATCCCATTGGGAACATATTTTTTATGAAAAAAGTGGGCAGCTAAAAACAAAAAAAATGGGTAGTGCCAGTGGTGGAATGACGGAACACGTGGCAAAAGTAAAAATAAAATAAGAATAATGAAAGAGAAAAGGTGGGTGACATGCTATTAAAGGTTACCTTGAGGAAATTTGGCTTAATTGATTGTTTTTTTAGTAAATGGATGAATATGACTCTTTTTTTAGTACATAGGTTTGAGTGACCTATTTGCAATAGTAGAAGGGTGTATTTGACTCTTTTTCTTGATGATTTTATTACTACCTATAAGAAATTGCACTAAACAAGACATTAATTGGAATTGGAGTACAATTTGAAGACATTAATGACATCGATTCTTATGAATCAATTGTGAAACCATTTTTTCAGTTTTGTAATATTACAATGACCGGGCCTATATGTTGCATGATCTCTAACAATCTGCAAATCTATGAGCAGGACTTAACGTCATTTATCAAATCAATTGTAAGCCAACTGGTGTTGAATCTGAAACGCATATATGAACTGGGAGTTATGAAAATAAGTGTGGTTGCTGTGCCACCATATGGATGCTTGCCCAACGTTAATTCACCGAATGTCTCTATTGACACAATCAATTCAATTTCGAGGCTTCATAATGAATTGCTAAAGAAAGCTGTGGAGAAACTTAACAATGAACTTGTTGGTGATCAACCCATCTTTGTGATTCTTGATCTCTACTCTGCATTCATGTCTGCCTTAAACACTCAAGATAATCGCACAGGTATATTTTAATTCATTTATCTTGAAAAAGTTTTGTTTTTTACGCATTCATTCGATCAAGTAATTTGAAAATATCACTGGGATTTGAAAATTTGTTTTGTGATATGAGACTGAGTATAGGAAAATGACATTTGTATACACTTTAGTGTACACCATGAGTGTAATTGTGATACACACAATTATTGTTTGTCAAACTATGTTCATCTAAAAAACCTGCAATTTGTTTGCAAAGATAACTCCAGAGTAATATATATCACACACAATGGTTTTATGAGTCCACAAACATCAGTTTGTGTGCTCTATGTACTTTGCAAATATATCCATGCTTATGCCCTAAAACTAATGCATGTGCCAATTTTGTTTTGTGGTACAATGTGCTTTGCCTATTACATTGATGAGCTTACAAAGTCAAAGTATGTAAAAAAGTGCTCATCACATTTGCCTATTACATTGATGAGCTTACAAAGTCAAAGTATGTAAAAAAGTGCTCATCACATTTGTTTTATGATCATAGTGTTCTTAGAATATGTATCTTTTTATTGAAAATGTAGGTAGTGGTTTCAAAACCGTGTTTTGGTGTGTGCATAAATGTTTGATAAAAACCATTGAGTAGATTAGTAGGAGAACAAATTTGAATAAATTTAGGAATATGAATGTAGATTTCGGATCAAACAAAACCATTCTTACTGTGAAAACGGTAAACCGTTAATTTTTCCCCTAATGTGATGCACTTGAAGGGCGGTTTGTTGCACTTTTTGAACTTTGTTCGGGCCATGCTAAATAAAAGTGACATTTTCGTAAACAAGTCAGAATTTTCTATCCATGCGAAAAAGTGCAATATACGAACCTAATAGTGCATCACACTAGAGAAAAAGTAATGATTTTGAGTTTTCACGAGGTTTTTATTTGATCCACGACCAAAAAACTGTTACTCCTCCGTCCCATAATGGTTGTCCACTTTCAATTTGGCACGATTATTAATAAAGTGGTTGAAAAGTAAAAGTTGTGGTTGAGATTTGAGTATAATAAAGTGAATTGATAAGAACCACATATTTCATCCAAAAAAGGAAACAAAACATTCATTTTGGGACAACCCAAAAAGGAAAGTAGGACAACCAAAATGGGACGGAGGGGAGTATATTCTACGTAAAGTACGTATGTGTCATCATATGCAAAATGCCAAAATATAGATGTCATGTATATGCTTCCTTTTCAACTTTATGTCATGTATATGCTTCCTTTTCAACTTTTTGTGCGAAGATATGAGAAAAAGGCTTGGACATGCATTTTGTTTTAGGAAAAATTGATAAAATAATCTCATCTTTCATTGGTCTTCTCATAATAATCTCACCTTTACGTAATTCCAGAGTAATCACACCTTTGCACCTCATCTTCTTTCTTTGGACCCTGACCAAGTTTTTTTTATTCTTTTTTTGAAAATCATATAAATAATCTCACATTTCTCTTTTTATTATATCTTTATAAATGTGAGATTATTTATATAAGATTTTCAAAGAAAGGTAAAAAACTTGGTCAGGTTCCAATGAAAGAAGATGGGGTGCAAAGGTGAGATTATTTTGGGATTATGTAAAAGTGGGATTATTATGAGAAGACCAGTGAAAGATGAGATTATTCTTGTCAATTTTTCCTTTGTTTTATTAATAACAAAGAACTCATATACACAATTTACAAACTTTAACTTCTTGATTTGAGGGATGCATTATTTATGACACTAATACATACTCTGTCATATAGTGTTACTAACGAAATGCTCTGTCAAACAATTAACTGCTAATCTAAGTACGAATTAACAGTTATTATTATATATTCTCATATTCAAATCCTAAAAATAAGTAAGCATATATGTAAGCACACTTACTCACCTTCTAACAAAAAATTTCACGTGAAACATCATTTTGGAATCAAAACATTATGTAAAGAGGAAGTGTCTGGTCGTGAGCAGGGGTGTTAAAGTCTCACACCAGATATCTCTGAAAGAATTAAATACTATATTAAGATATGAACTACTCCTCCTATCAAGTTGACCTTTTCGGATGGATCCCCGGATCTTAACATGACATCAGAGCCAAACTGATTCATAACAATGGTGTGGGCCCCTTATGACAATGACAAATCGACAAAAAATGACGGCATGATCCAGAAGAAGTGTCTGGTCGTGAGGAGGGGTGTTAAAGTCCCACACCAGATATCTCTGAAAGAATTAAACACTATATTAAGATCTAAACTACTCCTCCTATCACGTTAACCTTTTATAATGGAACCCTGAATCTTAACATGTAAGCGTTAAACAAAATTTGATGGTTCCATACTTCCTTTTCCCTTTAAGTAAATATATGGAAAGTAAAAGAGTGTGAATATATATTTGATTTTTGGTTGTAGGTAAATCACAATTTGAGAATATGTCTGAAGCATGCTGTAGAGGCACAACAAGTGAATATCGGTGTGGGCACGTTGATGAAGATGGAACAAAAAGATATGTCGTGTGTAAAGATCCAAAACGGGCATTCTTTTGGGATGGAATTCATCCTACTCAACAGGGATGGATTTCTGCCTTTTCAAACTTGACATCTTCCCTCCGCACTCTCCTCGTCTCTCATGGCCGATCATTGCATGCGGTTTTTTAAGTGTCACTTTTGGACATGCTTCACCATTCAGAAAACTTTTCTAATAATATGATGAGTTCATAACTCTATATAGAGTGAGAAGTATGATATGTGTGGTTTTGGTTTCTCCTTATTTGAAATGCAATTTTCACCTATATATCTAGTGATTTTCACCTCGTGCATTAAGCAAACAATACTACAACATGAGTAGACATATGAAACCGGAGTTTTAAAAAACAGGGAATATTCCCTCAAAAAAAATAGGGAACATGGAGACAAATTAAAATAAACCAATCCTTTATATGTATGATTTTCATTTAGTTAGCTCTTTTCAAAATCGTACTCTCATCTAGTTCAATAATTACCATACCCGTTCTTGATCACTCTAATTCATGTCTCTATGGATGGTTCTCTCTTCTCCACCTCTCAAAACAATACTACCGCTTTTTCGTTTCTGAATTTTTGGAAGAAAATGCTGACCACAACCGCAACCAGGTACACCACACTTACTTGCTTAGACCGTGCAAAAGTGCCTATAAAGAACGCATTATAACACATCTCTTCAACGAATAGAAATTGGTCCAAGATAACAAACCAAAATAATACTGGAATCTGAGAAAGAATTCAAAGAAATGCAATTAGAAGAAAGTTGGATGTTCACTAATCTAAATCCAAAGGGGAAAACATGTATAAATGATGAACGACAGTGCTAGTGTCTCATCTATAGACTGATTGGCAGAATATAAGGGGCCGTTTGGTCAGTTTAATTCGGCTAAAATGGACGAATGTGCACAATTTTCAATAAGGAAAAACGTTCAATAATGGCAATTATATGGGAAATTCCATCAAAACGAGCAAGACAAAACTGGGTACAAAATTGAGCTAAGCTTCCTTTTAACTACAAAGTTTACACCTACTGAAGGAGCATATATATATACTACATGAATCATAAAAGTTATAGATAAAATTTTACGAATTTAATGTCATATGAAAGATAATAAAATTTCACAACTTTAATATATTTTTATAGCAACCAGAGCATAAATAAAAAATTACAATATATTAAACAAAAGATGTGTTTTTATTTTAATGGGACCCACGGTCCTTTTCTCCTCATTCATGGGCTGGTAGTAGCATTTTTTTGTTTGCCTAAAGCCGCCATGCGAAATGGTGGTTCTCTTAACTGCAGATTATTCTAGCAGTATTTGGGAAATTCTTTAAGCATACCCTAATTTTATAAAAAAAAAATCTATTTTGTCTTTTTTTGAGCAAATTAAAAACTCCATCTACTGCAATAGATAAACTAAAAATTTCAAAATGAAAGTGAAGATCGAACGAACAATGAAATTTGAAGTCGAGTGGTGAAGATGGCAGCAGACAAGCTCACCAGAGAACAAGTGGCCGACGAGCGGAAATCTGATAATAAGATAGCAAATGGGGAGGGAGAAGAAAGAAAGATACAACAAAGAAAAAGGAATCAAAGAAAGCCAAAAGGAACCTAGCCAGGAGAAAAGAGCCCGGTCACAGGGTGAGAGAAAGAAAGAAAGAAAGAAAGAAAGAAAGAAAGGAAAGCAAAGCAAATAAAAAAGAAAAGGAAAAGAAAAAAGGAAAAAGAAAGTATTTGTCACGTGGGTTGTCACATGGCTCCCACGCGTACAAGTAATCGGAAGACCTATTGATTAAATCACTCAATTTTTGTTACGTCTGTCACACTAGCATTGAGACAAGAGGATGCGACACAATGATTAAGAAATGTGGATTTATGTAATTTATATTGAATTAATAAAGTAAGATTGATTTATAACCACACAAATTTCTCCAAATTTTGTGTGAGATAATCTTATTTGGTCGGACCGAAAAGGAAAAATGAGACAATCTTAACACCACGGATGAAGTATATTTTTTTAGGAGTTTAGGAGTTTAACTAGATGTTTTCTAATTATGTGTATCTAATTGACTTTTTTGATATACTTCGAGAGTGAGTTTGATCATTTTCCCGTTTTGAATTGTTAGAAATTTCAATTTAGATATCAACGTTGACGAAATGGGACCAATTGAAATAAATTTACGTTTTCAATTATCTATTTTTTGAAAGAAAATAACTCACTTATTAATAATAATGAAAGTAAACAAAGGCAAAGCAGAGCAATAGTTCAGAGCAACCCTGGAGTGAGACATAGAACAGACTAGCCACAGAAGGCCAACCGGATCACTAACTTCGCACAATAGTAGGTTATTGTATCAGCATCGTTGTACTTGCTACTAGGACATAAATATAAAAAACTGGGGTTCAAAAGCTAAAAAGAAACAAAAGAATCATAAGCCCTGGTTTTACCAACCACCAGCAAGGGAGAAGAGGTTTGACCAGCCACCTCCAAACATGCCATTCTGATTTTGCCAGCCATCGGGAAGGGAGAAGAGGTTTAATTTGCCCAGCCACCTCCAAAGGAAGCACCCTGCTCACAAGATCTAAAACAATTCCAGGGAATGCTGGTCCAGTTGCACTTGGATTGTGGCTAGATTCCCGGCCTAACAGCAGTTCCGGCTCACAGAGCCCATCCAAGCAGTCACCACACCTGATTGGCCAAATCTAGCGGGGACGAAAAACCCTACAACCGAGTGGAACAAATACGCTGGATATATCGAGAAAGAAAACAGACTAAGATTATCACCTTTAATTTATTCACTACCTTGTACGCTTATTTCTTTCGCGAGCCTCACTCCATCAAGAACGAGTGATCGAGTTGTCTCCTTGAGGGTCGGCGGCGGCTTTTAGCGCTAGGGTTAGCGAAGTTCATATCCATAATTTCTTTTGTTTTAACTATCTAATTTATGTATAGTTTTCAGTTTTCCAATTTTGCACGATTAGTAATATCTAGAGAATCCCTAATATTTATACTTAGTTTAAGTCCTATTAGATAACTTTTTCTTTTGATATAATAATTAAAATAAATAAAGTGAAAGTTAAAGATGATTATTGTAGTTATACTTTAATTTTTACTTTATTTTATTAAGAAATTATATTTTAAAGAGAAATCTTCTGAAATGTGACTAATAAAACATAGACAAAATGTATAAATAAACTATTATTGTTTTCTTCTTAAAATATGACACACTCACTCATAATTGGAAAGTTTTATACTTTTAATATAATTGAATAGGTCTTATTTGAAAATAAGCATAAGTAATCTTATTTGTGTGTTTTGTCTATGTTTTGGTCTTATTTGATGCAATTTCTTTTATTTAAAGAGTCTTTTTGACAACGCCTGAATTGGTAGACTCGACTTATAGATGAAAAACTTTGTTTAAAATATATTTATTAATAAAAATAAAAAAATAATTATATGAAAAAATCTAATATGATCCTCTATAGTAACTTCAGTTATTTTAGACAAACAAGTTATTCTAACCTTATTTTAGTTATATGATAATTAAGCGCATGAATGTAAAATGTAAATGGTTTATGTTCCGTGAAAAGTTGATTGATCAAACTACTAAGCCAAAAACAGGGTTACATCATCAAAGAGATTCTAAATATAATACTACGTATTTTTTTTTATGATTCAACACATTCAGTGCTGACAATTGTAATGTTAACAAATAGACTATTTATATACCTAAAAAAAATACTCTCTCTGTCTGGTTAATAATGTTGTCACATCTTTCCTTTTTGGTATGTCTCACTAAGATTGACTCATATTAACTTTGATAAATGATGTTTTTTTTACTGTTTTCAATCCCAGACCAGACCAGATTAGGCCAGACTTAAACAGACCATACCAGACCAGACAAGGGCAGACAAGACCACACTTGGACAATTATAAAATACACTGAGACCAGACATTACCAGACCAAACCAGTTAGATCAAACCAAACCATATTTAAACAAACCAGACAAGATTAGATTAAACCAGATCAGCAAATTTCAAATTAAAAGAAAACTCAATCATGTATGTGAACTAATTTTTCTTAATAATTGTATGTCATGTCCCAATACGGCAATACTATACTAGGTACGTACTCCCTCTGTCCCTTAAAACTTTGCCAAGTTTGATCGGCACAAGGATTAATAAAGTAAAAATTGTGTGGTTAAGGTTTGTGCAAAGGAGAGAGAATTAACTATAACCACAAATTTTTTACTCAAAAGGGAAAGTGGAAAAATTAGTGGGACATCCAAAAAAGGAAAGTTGGCAAAGTTTTAAAAGAGTACATAGTAAATGTGAAATAATGGGAAAGGTTGCCCAATAGGGTACCTGGCAGATATATTTATAATAAAGAGAGTTTCCAAAAATACAAAGTATTCCTAATTTAATATTAGGCTATTACACCCCCACTAACTGTGCGGGAGATACAACGTGCACGTTGTCCTTTAAGAAATGAAATTGCTGACTAGACAGACTCTTAGTAAATATATCGCCAACTGAAGACTAGCAGGTACATATTTAACCACAAGATCGCCATGAGCCACACGTTCACAAACAAAGTGATAATCAATCTGAATATGGTTACTCCGTGCATGCTTAACAGGATTCGTTGTCAAGTAGGATGCAGAGATGTTATCGTAGAACAAACGTACCGGTGATGTGATAGGAAAGCCAAGCTCGAATAGAATAGACCGAATGTGGAGTGTGTCCTGTACTGTATAAGCAATAGCATGATACTCTGCTTCTGTAGAAGATTTAGAGACAGTAGGTTGCTTCTTGGATTTCCAAGACACAAGATTTGGCCCAAGAAAAACAGCATAACCAGTTGTAGAGCGAGAAGTATCAGGACATCCAGCCCAATTTGCATATGAATATGCCATAATACATGTCGCCTTGGGTGTAGGCTGAAGCCATAGACCATGATCAATGGTACCCTGCAAATATCTAAAAATCCTCTTGACAGCAAAAGATGAGTGGTACGTGGGGCATGCATAAACTGAGAGACTAAATGCACGGCATAAGTAATATCAAGTCTTGTCAAAGTTAAATACTGTAATGCACCTACGATGCTGTGATATTCAGTCGTATCTGCAAGTAACTCACCATCTATGAGAGACAAAGAAGTACGAGATGCAAGAGGAGTACGAACAGACTTGATAGTGTGTAAATGAAACCTGGAGAGAAGGTCAGAGACATATTTGTGCTGGGAGAGAAACATACCTACCATTACGAGTGGCCTGAATGCCAATAAAATAATGAAGATCACCCAAGTCTTTCATGGCAAAGTGACGAGCAATAAGATGAATAAATTTAGAGACAATAGATGAAGAATTGCCAG